TTCTTTTTCCCCCATTTGTGCTCTTTCATAGAACCACAAGGAGATTGAGACTGGCTGCAAGAGGATGCAATATCTGGGAACAGGAAATCTACTGGATCTGATTTTCACCTCAGCTAGGCTGAAAGAGGAATCCAGGAATCCAGATGGAAGTGATCAGATATCTCTGGTACTAAGGAAGAATAGAAAGATACTGGCATCACTGGAGCATATTTCTAGAGTTCATCTCCTTACAACTAATTAATTAAAGTAAGAATTAGATATCCTTATGATCACTATTTTCAGCATGCAATTTATAATATGACAAATATCTAGAAAACTGAAACTTTGACTTTTATAGAACACTGAAGACAGCAACATGCCTATACATATATGGTAATTTCCTGCAGCACCTGGGCGCAGAGGAATTCCTTTTGGTTCACAGATGAGCAGTGGACTTTGTCTCCTTTCAGGATATCTCCAGATGCTATTATGGGATGATGACTCCAGCTTGCCCTGCTCAAGCTTTCTGGGGTAAGATTCACAACACAGTGAGATAAACAAGCAACTTTGAAGTGTGATCAACAGAGGGACAGTGTGTGCTCCAAAGGCTCGTGTGCCTCAGTGAAACAGTTTCCAAATTCAGATTTATCAAGGGAAGCAGTCTTACAGGATCCAGATGCGGGATATTCTTGGACTCTGTACAACTCTGCTACTGTGCCTTGGGAAAGGCAGAGACATTTCATGCTCACATGTGTATTTAACATGAATTTAATTTGTATTGTTCTGTAGAAAGTATTTCATTTCCATTTAATGGCAAGATGACACACCAGTTTTCCTCTATTTCTGAACAATGTTTTTCAAGTGTACTGAACATTCACAGATTTGAAAAACAGAATCTCAACATCTATTTAGCACATTGTATAATTTTAAGTCTCTTGAGATAAAATTTTGTCAGTGAATTGTTATTACCATTCTGGTGCATCTGAAGACTGTGAAGTATGAAGTTTTATAGCACTATTTTTGATTTGTTCTAAATGAAATAATTAAAATAATGGAATTACTGCAATTTCAGCTAAAGAAAGGACTTTTTATATGAGCATGCTTTTTCAACCAGATGATCCTATTTCACTACAGTTTCTCTGTGAACTCGTAGCATGTATTTAATACATCAACTTCATGCTATAATAGACTGATATGACTCATAAACCCAGGAGAAGTTCTGAAGTTGACATCATAAGGAAAATCCACCTCTAGACAAGATTTAGAATGTAAGTATCATTATGCATGGAAGACTAAATGTGAAGTTTCACAAAATTATTTTTATGTATATTACTTGAACATCAAATGTCATGATCCCATTGTACTTTTGTACTAAAAATTCCACAAAAACTGTACAAAAACGTGCTGCATAGTTCATAGAAAATCTTGTGCACAGATAAAGGATTTCTTAGATTACAGCTACAAATAACACAATTGGGGGTTTAAAATTTAAAATTAAATATTTTTCTATTACTTAAGCCTAATTTCTACTTTCACCACTGTGAAACGAAGTTCAAATATTTTTTATCAACTGATTTTAATCCATTCTTGTATGAACAGACCCAGGATTCAATATCATTTTCACAGACTGTGCCTGAGGAAAACTTTCAACACCTTTATGATGCTATTCAGAATTCACTTCAGTCCTGTACATGGTAGCCAAGAAAGAAAGTTTGAATAATGAAAAAAGGGAATTTGTGAATTTAAAACTTAATATAAGTTGTGATCATTTATTGTGTATGCTTTTGCAGCCTTAGAATTCAGCCCATATTTCTTACATCACAATTTTTAATTGAGTTATGTGTTGGAGATAGCTAGCTATTAGAGGAGAGAATTTGGGTGAATATCAAGCTAGTAGTGCAGCATCAGTATGAAGCCAGTGTCAAGAAAACCATTCTAACTACACACAAGATTAAAAATAAATAAATAAGGCAGAATCTGGCCTACAGACTTTCAGTCAGGGAAAAAAAGAACCAAAACCAAAACAACAGAACAGAGCAAAAGGCAACATTAGAATCTTTGATTTTGTTGTTTCAGTTAACCATTTAGTCTGATGGTGTTTGAACTGTAACATATTGAGTTGAATGAAGTTTCCAGATGCCTTTTTTTTTCCCCTCCTCTCAGAGATTTCAGTGCCAAAACTGAGGGTTATGGTCCATTTAGCTTGAGCATTTTGAGATTTAGTTGTAATGCTTTTCTTCTCTGTTTTTTGCTCACGAAAGATCCAACACTCAGCTGGACAAGATAGAGCACGGGCTGTGCCATCCTAAAAAATACAATGAAGGATTAGAAAACACAACACAGAAGCAGAGGAAAAAGAAAAATCAAATTCACTGAATGTCAAGCTCTGAGTCAATTCCACAAAGATTTCACATATAGGAAGCCAGATTTAAAAAAAAAAAAAAAAAATCTGTAATATACTCCTCAATGTATCTGCATTGCTTTGGTGTAACTGTGAATGCATCCACAGATGATTTTGGGAAGAAGTATAGACAGTAAGTCATTTTTAGCTCAACTTATCAGGAAGACACAGCATATAAAATGATTTCATCGGGAAGAAAAATACACACTTAAAAAAACATACTCTGTCATTTAACTTCATTACAGACTCAGCAATGTAATAATAAATTCTTTGTGTGCTTAATATATTTGTGTAATTTTAAATATCCTTACACAAACACACACCCTCTACTCATAGTGGGTTGTACAATGTAGTAGTATTTCTGCGTAAATGCAGGTGAAGATGAAAATAAGTGGCCTAAAACTACATGCAGGACATGGATATATCATCACTGTTCATGCCCTTCTCCTGTCATCTTGCTCATTGTGTAAGATCCTGTGTCTTTATGAACAGACATTCAAAGTCTCAATACAAATCACTTAATAATCTGCGGGCTGAAATTTTTCTTTTTGGCATAGTGGTCTTGTATTGAAATGCTTCCATTTAATGGCAGGAAATCATAGAGGGCTGACCAGGTTGTAGGCTTCCTAGTTTTGCTTTAATCTCTGTTACTATATATATGCCACAGGAAAACTAGTTTTATCTATGAAAACTTACAAAGAAGATACAAAATGTCTGTATGGGAGTATTTTTTTTTAAATAGTCTTTTCGACAGAATAGATGTAAACTCACTGCTTGCACAGCTCTCCTTTCTGAGTGCACATGTATGAGGATGGGAATGAGAGACGAGAGGATGAGGGAATCAAGAGCACACACTTTGCCTACACCCATTGTGGTATGCAGCGTACAAAAAGAACATTCTGAATGAAAGGCAAAAAAGTGCCACAGCCTAAGCAGCAAGTGGAAATTCTTCAGCAAACAGACGAAAACAGACGGTGCACTCCATTCTCAGAAGTGAAGAGGAGAGCACAGAGAAGTGCTCACAGCCCAGAGAATGTGGTGGCTGCTTATCTGACAGTGCTGAGTGTAAATGTTACAGATACATGAAATTTTGCTTTATCTACCTAAAGATTCCCAACGCAACCCCTTACTATTTATATTACCCTTCACAATTTACATTTCCATCTGTGCTGTATTTTCTGTACCAGCATCCCTGTTTGTGCAAGGACTGGTTTGGATTCTCACATCATCTCGCTATCGAATTGCAATGACACCCCCTGCGCTTTGCCAGCCTCCACGACAATAACCAGTTACCCCTTTCACACGGCAGCTCCCTCCACTCTTAAGGACGCGGCAGAGCCGTGCGGATCCCTTTCCGCACCGCGCGGCCGCACGCCCGCCAGGTGCGCCCTGCCAGGTGCAGGCTGCGGGGAGCGGCCCAGCCCCGAACGGCCCCAGCAGCGGTCCGGCGGAGCGCAGCGCTCGGCCGATGGCCCGCAGAAGTGATGCTCCGCGGCCCCGCGTAGGGAGTGCAGAGCTGTGGCGTCGGTCCCCTCTCACTGAAGGAGCAGAAGGGCAGGGGCACAGCACATCCTCGGGAGAAACACTTCGGACGCAGAGAGTGAGAGCTGACGGGAGGAATTTGGAAGTTTCTCTGCCTTTTTTTTTTTTTTTTTTTTTTTTTTTTCCCCCTTCTTCCTCCTATTTAAATTGCCTCATTGTTAGCGCGTTGCTCTCGCTCCGGGTTACACCTGACGGGCGGAAAACAAGAAAAGCAGCCGCCCCTCTCCCCCAAGTGAATACCGATGTACTATTGATCAGTTCATAGCGATTGCAGGAAAGCATAGATAGCGGAGTAAGGAGAAACAGAGTCACACGGGCGAGAGCCACAGCGATGGCAGTGCTGAGGAAGTTGACTTTTGGCAGAGCGCTGACTCAGGTGCGCCTCGCACCGAAGTTCCCCTGCAGGCAGCAGCAACCGGGGCCGCGACCGGGCAACACACCGGGAACCCCTTCGCTCCACGTCCCGGCGCACACACATAGCCGCTGGGACTGACCGGCTGCCCCTCTCTACTCGTAGGGCCAAGCGCGCGGGGCATGCACACGAAGCAGACGGAGCCCGCGAAACGACTCCGCACGCCGACCCTGCTCTACCCCATTACTACCGCCGCCCCCACGCTCATCCCGCGGGCAGCCCAGCACCGCCGGCAACCCGATACCGCTGCCCGCTCATTGGTCAAGCGCACCGACCCCGCCCCTCCACCCCCAGCCACTCAATCGGCGGGTCGGCCCGCCGGGCCGCGGAAAGTCGCCGCTGGTTGGTCGAAAAGAGCTGTCAGTCATGTTGAGGGACGGGCCGCCGCGGCGCAGAGGTCCCGCCCCCCCGCCCTCATTGATATTATCGGAGCGCGGCGCGGGCGGCTGGGCTGCAGTCGGGGCTCGCGGGCGGGCAGCCCGGTGCGGGAGCCGGAGCTGAGCAGCAGCACGGTGGCGGAGGCGGGAGAAGGAGCAGGAGGAGGAGAAAGTGAAAGGCAGCTGGGAGGGAGGGAGCGCCGGGCCGGGGACTCGCAGTGCAAATTCGCCACTGTCCTCTCGCACCCACCAAGCGGCGGCGGCGTCTAGAAATAGGGAGCGAGAAAGATAACATTTCCCTGCTCCTGCACCATGGTTTTGCGAAGTCGGCTTCTTCCTTGGATTATGTTGTGCTCCTTCTGGCTGCTCCGCTTTGCACACACGGGGGAGGCACAGGCTGCGAAAGAAGGTAAAGGCGTGCGGAAAACTAAACTTTGGGCTTATTTATTGCTTTTCGCAACGAAAGGCTCAGTGGAGGGAGCCGCGAGCTGCGTTGCGTTTATTTATTTATTTTTTTTGTATGTGCATTTTCTTGAGATTAGGAGAAAAACGAGTGAGGAATTCTGTATGTGAGCGCGTGTATAAGTAACAGACCGGCACAAGCGCTTTCGCTGCGGGGAATGAGCTCCGAGAGGCAATTGCACGTGATGGGAAGGGGAGACAGCCCTCGGCCCGGGGCTCCGCACAGAGCTCTCCCGCAGCCTCAGCCCTCCGGGACGGGACGTTGCGGGACGGCTCCCCACCGGGGCCCTGCGGCGCTCCAGGGCCGCGCGCGGAGCATGAGAAGCGGCAGCGGAGTGCGGTGAGCTCCTCTGGGGAGTCCTGGCGTCGAGTGTCCGCAGCGCGTGTGCTTATCGCCAGCATCGCTGGGCAGAGGGGGGAAGGTTTGGGGCTGGGTGCCTGGCACTATTTACGTATAGCAATGGGGCTTCCCTATTGCCGTCAATCCAACGCTGTCGTAACGGTGTATGGCGAACCCCGGACGTCTGTTTTTCTGCCCCATCCCATCCCGCGCGCAGTTTGCAGTAGGAGAGCGATGGAGGTATGTAAAATCCATTCCAGAAGTCCGTCTGCGAGATCTTTTTTCCCATGTAGGGAAAATCCAGGATCGTTTAAAAAAGCGCCCTAGTAGCGTTTGACAGTCAGGGACGAAGGTCCGTCTCCATCTTCACATGGGGGGTGGAAGGAGGAGCGGGTGGGGAGGGAGAACTCGAGGGTTTTTTTTGTGTGTGTGTGTCCCTATATAGGGACGCATTTGGGGTTTTTTCCTCTCTCAATGGGATATGTCAGTATTTTCAATTTTCATCAAACAACTGGCACGCAGTAAAATCCCATTCTGAAGCATTAAAAAAAAAAACAAAAAAAAAAAACCCGAAACCCCCTGCCCTTTTTTTTTTTTTAAAAAAAAAAAAAAAAAAGAGCGAGGTTAGAGAGGGAACAGGGAGAAAGCCTTCAGCGAAATTTCCGAAGCTGACGCGGAGGGGCAGGGATGCACCGAGACCCCCACGCGGGGGGCGATCACGCGTGGCCATGTGAGCAGGGAGGGTGCGGGCCCCGGGGCTGCGGCGGCGCCTCCGGGCGTCAGTCCGCTCCGTGTTCGTGTGCGGATGGGGATATGTATGCATACACATACGTGTGTGCGTGTGCAGTGGGTGTGCGCTTGGGGAAAATCAACGCAGCTAAAGGAAGGTCAGGAGGGGGCGAGCGGCGGACAGGGATTAATAGCGGCTACCTGCTGCGGGCTCGGGAAACTCCCGTGGAAGAAAGAGCGGGGAGAGAGCAGCGGGGAAGGAACTTCGCAGCCTCGCCCCCCACCTTGCCCGAGGGCTGTTCTCAGCTCAGCCCTCCGTGGCTCCCACCGCTCCTCTCCGGGCGCTGAAGAGCGCTACAGGGGGCGAGGCAGAAAAGTTTTCCGAGTTCCCTTTCTGTAGCTAAACAAAAGACGCGGGGAGATGCTGGAGAGGAGCGGGGCGGGGGCTGTCCAGCCCTCCGGGAGAGGGACTGACGGCTTTCACTGCACAGCCCTCCGCCAGCGCTGGTGTCCCCTCAGAGCTTCCCACCTCCTGCTGCGAGCCCTCGGGGCTCGACACGGGGCTCCGCCACCCCTGCCGCTGTCCCATAATCCGGCGGCAGGGCGGAGACCGCGGTACCGTTTCTCCAGACGGAGGCGCGGCCGCTTGCGCGCAGCTCCAGGAGCGTGTGCGCGGCCCTGGCTCTCCGCTGAGCCCGTTCCCCGAACTCGCACCCGCCAGTTTTCCGCCTCCTTTCGACTTCTGAAGCTTGCGCGTCCGCTGTGCGCATCCCGCGCAGCCGCCGAAGGGGTGCGCGGATTCGCCTCGCCGCTCACCGAGCGCGGAGCTGGCTCTGCCCTTAGGCTGCGGGACGCGCAGCAGCTGCCCGCCGGGCAGGCTCTGCCCGGTAACTTTCGGTGCGACGAGGAAACGCAACGCTTTTACTTGCCGGGGGTATTTGCAGAGCAAGGCGTTTCACTCATTATAGTTCGGTTTTTTTTTTCTTCTTTTGTTTGTTTGTTTTCCTTGTTTCTTTTTTTTCTGGGATGTGCCCGTTGCTATGTGCCGGTGAATTGCTGCCAAATAAAAAGTACAATGAATTGCAGCCGTGGGATATTGTGCTGGTGCTGAAAAGGTTAAGTCTTTCATGGTGCCTTTTTTTCTTTTTCCTTCCAGAATCATTAGAAACGTTGTTGTTTAACAAACCACCACATACACCACCTGCTTTTCTATAGAAAGTGTTGCAAAGTAAAGCCACTTGGATCCGAGCTTAATGAAAAAAGCAGATCATCTTTCTAAGAGACTATCAGACTTCCTTAATGAGTTGTTTTAGTTTATTACTGAAATACAGGCCTGGAAGTTAGGGTTCTGTGCTCAGCTAATATGGCGATATTACTCTATGAACTTGTGAATGTGTATATATATATTTTTTTAAGTCATCCTTCTTTCCATTCATTGAAATTTTGTGTGAAATTCTGCGAAAGCTGAACCCAGAATTCAACCAATTGAAGAGACCTGACAAAAGTTGCATCATTTTGAAGCCGTAAATTATTAATTGAAATAAAAGTATTTAAATTCTGTAAGTAAAATTATAAGTAGCTTGAATGCTAAATATATACTGAATGTATGCAAATTAGGTACATGACTTTTTCATTTACCAAATAAAAGAATGAAGTTAAATGTGCAGTCTTGAAGAGGGAATCTTCAAAGTGTACCAATCCCTGATATGTGGCCAATCACTCTACAGCTTCAACTGTGTGAAGAAAGATATTATAACAAATTATTTAATGTATATGTATTTGATATCATGGATTAATATATGTGCCATTTGAATCTGACAGTAATATGCTCGGGAAGATGCATGTAACTATAATTCAAATATAAAGCATATCTAGAAATATATGTTTGGAGGTAATAGAACATCAGTAATATATCTTCTAGAATGTGCTGTGAAATAGTTAAGAGTTGGTTTATTAGGCTGTGATTAACCACTTTATGAAGCAGGGTTACATTTAGATGCAAATAATTGTACTGCTGCCAGAACTGATGTCTTTTTGCAGAGGTGTCACTGGCTTATAGCGACATGAAGATTTCAGTAAGCCATCACCATAAAGTAAATTGGTTGGATTTGTGTATGCGATGTGTGAGGTAATTGCAGAGTCTCTTATTTTCTGTATTCCTGGTTGTCATTTGTTTATAGAATTGCTACCCTATCACCTACAGGATGTATTTTTTTTTCCTTTCTTACTCCAAAAGACATTACTTTGCTGTGTAACTCCTGGTAAGGTACATACTAGCCCTGTCTGAATCAGTTTGAGTAAGTGTTGAAATGCTATTGTTTGTTTGTTTTAATCTCTCTATAATAGCCAACTTATGGGGAATATCGTCATCACAAAGGAGATAAAGGGAGCATGCATAATAATGACTGACTATTAATATTTTAGGGCACGAGAAAAAACATTACACTTAGATGTAAGCAATGAGGTTGCTAAGAACAGTGTATATCTGCTTGTATAGGGATTGTACATAACAATTTAATCATCTGTTTACAAGAAGATGCATAGTTGTACTTGCAGTTGTTTTTCAATAGCATGAATTAAAAAGATGTGTTCTGTTTTATCGTTTTTTGAATTCAGAATTTTTACTTTGATTTTGTATTCCCACGTATTATATTTAACAAAGAGTGAAAATGCCTTTCTTTTCCTTTTCTTTTTCAGTTATTTTACTGGACTCCAAAGCACAACAGACAGAGTTGGAATGGATTTCCTCTCCTCCCAATGGGGTAAGTAGTCCCTACAAAAATTAAATTCATTAAGACAAGTAGTTATTTCACCAAAGCAATTGCAATACTGGCTTTAAACTAACTTCCCCTCATATTTCTCTTAGTAATTGTACCAAGTGTTTATGGATCTTTCAGCTTTAGAATGGAAATAAGTGTACGTTGGGTTACGATGTCCAAACATAAGCTAATTAAAAAATAGAGACTCTTTAGAAGTTCACCTAAATGTTTTCACTAGTTTCATCTTTTGTCACATAGACCTCTGTGGTATACCAGAAAGCTCTTTATGTTTGTAACACAGTATTTTAAATCACTTTTTCCTTCATCCTGTAGAAAGAGCAGACCTTCTTTTGTGTGGAAACTTTCTAAAAATATGTTTTTCATTTTCTGTATAATGGCTGATCATAAATTTGTTTATGGTGTTTTCTTTGTAATTGAATAGCACAGACTGAAGTGCTCTGAAAAAAAACATTTATACTGCAGATGTGTTTGAAATGACATTCCAAATTTGAAACATCCCCAAATCTCAAGGAGCTGCATATTTGGAACGAGGAACCAATTATGTGGTTAAGGCCACCTCCAGCTTGCTTACAAATGAATCTCATGGTATTCCATGAGATGTACCATTGTGTAGTAGTAGTACATCATTATAAAAAATGAGACATTTAGAAACATCTGTATTATTGTTTTATTTATTGTGTGCATAAACTTAAAAAATGCTGCTTTCGGCCTGAATTAGAAGTGATATAAAACCCCTTATTCCTCAAGTCCTGAGGAAGAAAGAACATTTTCAGAATGGTACAGTGAGTATGTTGTCCTACCGTAGCGCAGCCTGATAAATGATAAATCATATGGCTAGTTCTTGTTTGTGGAAGCAGTCTTTTGCAGCATCCATTGTGACTCCTTGCATGAGCAAGGAGTCTTGCTTGGCGGATCAGGCCCTTAATCTTCAGAGCCTTAAGAAATCTGGAGCCAGAAGAGCGTGAAGTGTGAGTAGGGATATAAAAGTGTAACAAATCCTTTAAATAAGAAGAATGAAAATCTGAAAGTGTCTTTCTTTAAAAGCAAGATCGTAAAATCAATACAAGCATAAACTGGAAACGAATGTAAGAACTTCAGAAGAAATGTAATGTGACCTCAACATTTATGATGGCTAATAACCTCAGCATTAGCATTTTGCATTGATTGAAGCTGCTACCAGAGGTGTTTGAAAGATTAGGTTGGTGGCAATTACATTAGGCTAACCTGTAGATAATGAAAGACATGTCAACACATGTTACACATGTCGGCATATTTAAAGATGAAAGAAAGTAGAGTCAAATTCAACAAATGGCAAGAGGCTACTTTCGAAGGTAGAAGACAGTTTCAATAAAAAATTAAAAATGAGGCTGAAAAACTAAAAATAAGGCTAATGACTGGATTTGTTTGCATGAAAATGGTCAGAAGTAGTTGTCTGTGAATTCAACATAGAAGTTGTAAGTATGTAATTTTGATAGAAAATATTTACTTTTAGTTACTATGCTGTCTGCTGTGCAATAAAGATTTCATGAGAATGAATGCAGAAAATACACTTCTTGAGAGTAACTACTGCTTCAACAAAGTACAGATTATATCACCCAGACACTCGTTAAATGCCTTATTCAACTGCAAATGTTATATCTTACAGTGATCTCAAATATTGCTAAGATAACTAAGGAAGTTTAAATACCATGTATTGGAACAGATAGAACAGGATATAGTCAAATAGAATGGCTTGTGTATCACTGTATGTGGAAGCAGGATAAAGCAGAATTGAATTTTCTTTCTGTAAAAGGCAACATGGAATTAGTCACTTTAAAAATACTAATGAGGTGTGAACTTAGATGATGTAGGTGAAAACCTATCCTGAAATACTGTTGATTTCTTTTTTCTTCCATAGAGAAGCAGGTATGCCTCCAGTGGACTATTTGAAGTAATGGTTCTGTGATTACTAAATTAAGCCATAAGTCCTGTTTTCCTGTTTTGTTTTATTTTGTTTTGTTTTGTTTTTTAAGAAGCACATATTCCGTGGCTTTAGGAAAATTTGGAAGGCTAAACTGCGGCATTCAGTGCTAGAGATAACATAACGTAGAGCTTTTAACTTGAATGTAGTGTTTTGTACTGTTTTTCCTTGACTGCAGTGTTAGAGTATCCCTAATACTTACAAACTTCATGTGGTGGTGGGTTCTCGATTCCTCAAGAACCTTAATAACATAGTTTTTGGAAAAATGATTTGATTTTTGTTAAATATACTTTTCTTGTCTTTCTTTTGCTTTACTTTGGTTTGGTGTTTTTTTGTTTGTTTTTATGTGGCAAGACCCCATCAAAGCTCAGAATCTGGTGTCAAATTCTGTTCCATGTTGAGCTTGTGCTGCTCACACTTCACAAATACAATGCTTTCTCTAACTGGAGTGACCAGAATCTGGCTCGGTTCCTTGGGGGAAAACATCACCTAATGTGCAATTGAGATTATAAAAATCAGTAAACTTTTAGGCTTTGTATCTTTTTTTCGTCACATTTGGATTGATACGGAGTTTGTTTGTTTGTTTTTCTTTTGTTTGTATTATTTATTTATTCTGAAGTGTGACAGTGCCAGTTGCCCCGATCCCCATTTTTTTCCTTCCCTTGTTAGTTCTTAGAGAGAGAAAAGTGTCACTCATTCAAATCTAATAAATCTGTAGTAATGATGGACTTTTTTTCTGTTCTGAAATGAATACAGTTCCATATGCAATCAGTGCAATTAACTTCATGACTTTTTAATATTTCAATATTTAATACTGCATATATGAATTTATAGTACTGTATGTACTATGTCTTTAGTAATTGCAGGTCTTTGAAATGCACTTTGATATTTACAACTTCTGTGCATTTCAGCATCTACAGCCATGATACATTCTGTGGTGGTAACTTCCAGCATCAAGTCAACCACATCTGCTTTTTCTTGGAGCTTTAGAGCAATGTTAAAATGATCTCATTTGCTGTCAAATAAGCTTGCAAAGTACTGTATACTGCATGGTTTCTAGTTTGGGAAGTCAGTCTGGATAACCAACCTTTCACGCTTGGTTACCAGTGTGAGGAATGTCGAGGGGTGGTCCGTCCTGCAGAGGTGCCAAGCATTCTAGTCCCACAGAACACTTAAGCACATGCTTACCATTAAGCTCATAAGTACTGTCATTGATCTTAAGCGTGAGCTTAAGTGCATTATTGACACAGGGCCAGAGGGCTAAGTGCCATAAGAAGTCATGGTTGCCCGTATCATTGGGTGAGGATAGTTAAAAAAAAAAAAAACTAATTTATTACAGCTGCAGTTTCTGCAGCATGTTAAGTGTTATAAGAAAAGTGTTATGAAAAGAGGTGAGAGATGGATATTGTTTTGGATGTACCTGTGCAAATTTGCCTGCTTGATTTCAGTGGTTTTACCATTGCTGGAGGTGCACATTCCAAAGTAACCGAACTCTGTTAAAGACTGCAGATCTGTTACACACTTACTGGTTTGTTTCACAGTTCTTATCCTAAGAGGGAATAACAACAAAACCCAAGCTTTGAACCAGTAAACTTTCAATCATGTGGGTTGTTCTTAATTGAGTATTTAATCTCATGGTTCATTTGAACACCCAGTCAACCGAAGTTCATTTCTTTTAACATGGATGCAGCCACTGAAAAAAGTGAGGTGAGGAGCATCTGCTTACATGTGCTGGTTTCTGAGTAGAGCAGAACATGGAGTGAACAAAAAGGGGGCTGCCAAGGTGTTTTCTCACCTCCAGATTTTTAATTCTGTCAATTTTCTTGTTTTCTCCTCATGCCACCTTCATTGTATAGGATTGAAAATTGTACACTGGATAAGTTTCAGGAGCCTTCTGCTTGCTGTACACCAGAAAGCTCCAGTCGGTGTTTTATACAGAAAGACTGTAACCCTAAGCAATCTGAGTTCCTAAGACTTCTCTGATTGTGCATTTCCCTGGAAATGGAGCTACTTTTTAGTCTTTGCTTATGAACTTAATGAAATGTGGGAGAATCCAGTGTGGAGTTAGAGCTTGATATGTTGAGCAGCTTCACAGAATCACGGAGCTGTAGGAGTTGTTAAGGAACTCTGGAAATTGTCTAGTCCACACCTCCATTAAAGCAGATTCACTATAGTAGGCTCTCCCTTGGAATTGGATCTTAGATGTGAATATGATTTTTGAAGGTTATTTATACATAGGAATAAATGGAGGGAGATGTATTAATGTCTATTTTCTTCACTTGAGTGCTTAAGGATATTGTAATAATAGCCTATTTTTTATGATGTCTTACTGTTAAAAAGGAGTAGCACTTAAGTGTGACACTTTTTCAAATACACAATAGTTATATTTGGTGGCATCCTTGTTTTATATTACTAACTGTTTTTTATTGTTTTAGTGGGAAGAAATTAGTGGACTGGATGAAAACTACACTCCTATACGAACATACCAGGTATGCCAGGTCATGGAATCGAACCAAAACAACTGGCTTCGGACTAACTGGATTGCAAAAAGCAATGCACAAAGGATTTTTGTAGAACTGAAATTCACTCTGAGGGATTGTAACAGTCTTCCTGGAGTTCTGGGGACTTGTAAAGAAACTTTTAACTTGTATTATTATGAAACAGACTACGATACTGGCAGGAATATCAGAGAAAATCAATATGTAAAAATAGACACTATTGCAGCAGATGAAAGTTTTACCCAGGGTGATCTGGGGGAGAGAAAAATGAAACTTAACACAGAGGTGAGAGAAATTGGACCTTTGTCCAAAAAAGGATTCTATCTTGCATTTCAGGATGTAGGGGCCTGCATTGCTTTGGTCTCTGTGAAAGTCTACTACAAGAAGTGCTGGTCCATCATTGAGAACTTAGCTATTTTTCCTGACACAGTGACTGGCTCAGAGTTTTCCTCTTTAGTTGAAGTGCGAGGAACTTGTGTCAGCAGTGCTGAGGAGGAAGCTGAGAACTCTCCGAAGATGCACTGTAGCGCAGAGGGAGAATGGCTAGTGCCTATTGGAAAGTGTATCTGCAAAGCAGGATATCAGCAGAAAGGAGACACCTGTGAACGTAAGTAGACATATAGCTTTTATTGTGTGCAGTACAGGTTATATTGCACCATTTTGTTATTTCTCTGCGACAGAAATACATCGTCAGTCTGCTGTTAAAGTTTCAGATCCTCAGTCTGTACTCTTCCTACTGGCCAGTCTAAAGCAGTCACTTCTGGGTATGGAAATTGGTGTTTGTGTGCTGCATTTTACTTCATTTTTGTTTATAGTTATGCCTCATACAAGTTTTTAAATATAGATTCAGGACTGAAATTTTCAACAGTTTAAGGTAACATTCCTTGTACTTATTGGTATAGAACTTTGTATTAATAATCTCTGAGCAATTAAACACCTTGTTCTTTCATATGGCCTATGACAATTATAAGGAAATTGAAACTGGGAAAATAAATGTAGAATGAGGTGTGGTTAATAATAGGAAGAATATACACACAATAAAATCTGCTTTGGAGATTTGCATTGTAAGTGCTTACAAATTTAGACACAAAAGTATTGTTTTAGATCTTTCAAACAGAATATCATGTTTCCAGATTGAAGTATGTTTCCCTTTCTGCAGTTTCATTTTGCATAAAACTAACTTGGAACTTTTCACTTTCTAAGGGATCATGGTGAATAGTTTGAAATATTAGTAAATCGGAGACTATTGAGTTGTACTTTCTAATTAAGACTGATTTAGTTACACAGATTCTTAGAAAAATACTTACCCTTAGTGCTGCTGCCAGTGGGTCTACATGCATAAGAACTTTCTGCTTACTGTAGGAAAGAATATTTTGCTGTCTCTGCTTACAATAAAATCAAGACAGTTTGTTTAAAGACTGATATAATTTTTTTAATGTTTATGAAAATATATAATTCTTATCATAAGATCACACAAGCTATTTATGGTCACATTTTTATCATAAGAGGCATGTTAGTGAGAAATGTTGCATGCAAGTTTACCATACCTACGTACACTCCCAAACCTATGAAAAAGAAAAACCTACGGAATTTCAAAACCAAACCTAGCTGCAGTCACTAAACCTGAGATGTCCATGTAAGGACTTCAAATCCTGTAAAGGATTAGGGTCACCCTAAAGGAAAGTAAATGTGCTTATTGTTAATAAGCTGTCGTCAGGGAAAAAAACTATTGCGTTCCTGATGAGTTTTTTAGTAGGAAATTCTATACAAGGTGAAGTTGATCTGGGGCCTTTGTAGCCTCTCACAAATCTTTCATTGTTATGTTGAGAAAGGATGAGGGCTTATACACTGAAGAGGGTGATCTCATTAGGAATAATAGTGATGTAAAAAACTGCCCCCACAAAACCACTCAGCAGACTGTATTAAGGCTCTGTTAAAAATATTAACCAGTGTATCCCATTGAAAACTGTATTGAGTCTATCAGATGTTTCTTTGGAGTGACTGACTTTTTTTTTTTCTTGATTACAGACCTTGTCATGGTTGATGTAATGAATATACTAATTTTATTTCTCTTTAAACGTAGAAGAGAAAGTATCCAAATAAAGAGGCAATATATATACTGGGTAGTGGCTGAGATGGGTGAGAGGTGGTGCTGGGGTTAGAGAGAGGAAAGTAAGTGTTTGGTAACTGGAATTCAGGTAACTTATTTATTAAACAAGCTTCTTAATTTCTAACCACACTGATGTTGACAAAAGAATTAAATGATAACTTGTACTTGAGTATAGCAGTGTGCTCATTTGCAAGAACACTTCTCACTGTTGGCTTGCTTCCAAGGCAATTGCTAAGAGAATACGCTACACTGGAAGCAGTCCAGAGGATCATTTATAGTATTTTTTTCTTTTCTTTCAGTGGCCCTATTAAGAATTTGAAAACAAACTCTGGCTCCATATTGAGGCAAGTTAATGTATTTGAGAGAGAAAAGGTGGGAGGCAGCCGCTCACCAAATGTGTGCTGCTGGCTGCTCAGAGTCAGGTTAATCTGAGTGACTGTGTCTCACAATAGTAATTGCAGTCTGTAATGCTTGTTAGCCATGTCTGTGCTTGAGGATGTTATTAAATATGATCAACTATGTAGTGTCCGATAATACAGCTGGCACACTGATACAGCGTCTGTTTTTTGTGACAGATATTGAGGGAAACTTATCTGAGCATTGACACTAATGCAACTGGCTATCTGTTACTGTCAAGCTGTGTAACAGATCAAGCAGAGGCAAGTCGATGTGTGCTTCCTTAACCCAGAGCTTTTATAGCCTTGTCTGAGGGCTCACTTCTGCAAATACTTTGTACCTGGCATGCTGTGTGACTTCTTTGGGACTAGTTGTGGTAGAAAGCATTGTGCGCTGTCAGGACTGGCTGAAGTCTGTGATTGCTCTCTCACGCTTACTGTAGCTCACCTGAATTAATTTAACACAATAGGAAAGCCTTTTAAAGATACAGAATAATGCCTTATCTGTCTGCATTGTAGCAAAGATAGGAGTAGATGGCCACATTGTACTTCCAATAGCTCTTCAACCTGTAACTCAGTGGGGATTTTCATTTGTGTTATGCTGGCTTGATTGGCTGACTGTGATTGAAGAATGCGATCCTTTTGCATACAGCTTTTCTTCTGTATGTGAAATTTCTTGAATTCAGATACTAAAACAATTGCCTTTTGATTTATACTAATTCTGCACTGGATGTGCTGCCAGAACCCTTATTTTTGTTGTTGTTGTTTTTGTTGCTCTGAATTCAAGTAACTGGTAGAGTCTGGAAGAATAAGAAAGGAAGCAGTCATGAGTCATGAAGTGCACCAGCTAGACACCGAACTTTCGTTTGTTCATTCTTCAGTGTTCTAAGCTGAATTGATATCTTTTTCAGATGTACATTGATTACTTCTTGCTACTGATGCGCTTAGAATTCCATACCATCTCAGTGATCTATTGTAATAACACATACAAAAAGGAGAGCTTAACTCCATGCAGCTCACAGTGTTCATGTAAGGCAAAATCTTAAAGCTTGTTGTAGAAAGCCTGAGAAAACTAGATAACAGTATGAACTTTGCATTGCAGTTGGTTTTGTTGTTTTTGCTTACATACAAGGGTACTGTCTCCTCAGAGTTGATCATGTCTGCTAGTATTTGGAACTATACTGAATTATAGAGATTTTATATTATGATGAACTGTACGGAGAAGTACCTAGCAAACATACCTGAAAGGTACTTAGCAAGTCTTCTAATGTCACCCACTGTGCCTACTCCATCAATAAAACAAAACAAAAACAAACAAACAAACAAAACAACAACTAAAAAACCCACCTAAATGCAATGCAGTTTTCTCTATCTGTAGTAGACTCCCAATGGATGTAACTTTGGTTTCTTTCTCACAGTGTTGTCCAGTCAGTGTGTTGCACATATAAGCACCGCACTGATATCAGTGATTGGTATGTGAATGAGAAAATGATTCCTTGAGAACTCCTAGTATAATGCAGTTTTCATCTGTTTCATGTTAGTTGGGTGTGGGATGTAGGAGAATTATATTTATTCAATTGGAGCAGTAGTGTGATATTTCAGAAGGTAAGAAGCATCTCTTAATATGACTGAAGTGAGAAATTACATAGATGATTTAGGACCAAGTCCAAAAACACAGAAGTTGAGGCAAAGTCAAAGTGTAAGTTTTACTATTAAGCATCTTTTAATCCTGAAACAACATTAACAGTTGTTTTAGTGCCCCCGCAAATAGGGAGGGGATTATAGCTACTTGCACATTCTGTCTTCATGACGTAAAAATGAAGCTACAGACCTTTCTTTCCAAACTTTGCCATGTACTGTACATTGTGCCAGACTAAAAGCTCTATTTATTCCTTCTTTTTTTTTTCTTTTTGGGACAGACTTTTATCACGTTACTTGATAACATAAGGCAAATTCTGTTTTGGCATCTGTCATGGTTATTTATTTATGGCAAAGTGGTGTTTTTTGTTATTGTTGGGTTATTGATTTTTTTTAATGTGTGTTTGTAATTGGTTTTCATTTTTCCCTTTTAATATTCAGGAACCAATGTTCCACGTGTTTGCTAGTAGAGGGCAATGAATTTATGGGGGGATGTGAATGAGTTGTTAAAATGGGGGATGCCATGCTTCCAAAAAAGCCTGGGTTGCATGGTTAGGCCCAGGTGGTGTGTCCCAAAACCTGTGGGTGATTTGCTAATTAAGCAGTCTTTTTAGACTTTCTGTTGCTACTATTTCTGTTTCACTTGGTGGAGAAGTGACAAGATGGTAAAATGCATGCTGCTGAAGATGTTTTCTATCAAGACTCTACATGTTTCTTTCTTGAAGAAGTGTTACCTTGTTTCCATTTGCCTCCAAAATTACTCTTGGGAAAATATAAATGCTGGCAGCAAATTGAACCAGAGAAAAGCATGAGGACATTTCTGACAGTTTTGCCATTTTTTCTAGAGCTAGTGAAAGTTCAGTGGGAGAATGTCTACCTCCTTTCTTTCTCCCTCCTAAGATATCAAGTAGCTTTTCTGTCCTTTTGAAACAAATGTCACTGTGATCAGATAAAAGATCCCTCACACTACCACATAGAAACTATTGAATTTTTTTAAAAAACTCATCATGTTAAATATCTTTCCAGCAAATTCTAGCAAGAGTTAGAAAAATAGAACATAAGGTGAAGGTAAGACCTTCAAGCTAGCTGATCAAGAGTACAGAGTAGTTTTTACAGTTAAATATAGAGCTGTGATCTTTACTTCAGTCCTTGTTTGGAGTTTCTAGAGAGTTAAGTGTCTTGAATTCTTTCACACTGGATCAACAAGCAGCCTTTCTAGAGAGTGATATGAACATATGTGAGGTGTAAGGTGGTGTTAAGTTGAAGTGAACAAGAACCATACTGTAGAGACAGTTGAAACTGGTTAGCTCTCATCCATAGTGTCATCAGTGATTACATTAAATAAATCCAAATGAATAAACCACAGAGATGCTGACTGATTAGGTTTCCATGAACTAGCTGGTTTGCTCCAGGAGAACTGACAGGAGTGAAATATTGTATGCAGATGGGCTATCAGGAGCCCAG